AAAAATCTTTAAAAAAAAAAAAAAAAGAAGTACCCTGGTTTGCACAATGACTTGCACAGCCGCCTGCTTACGCTAAGTATTTGTTCTGGCATCCCTGCCTGACCCCGGGCCCCAGACCCTGCTCCATCTGCCCCCCACCCCACCCCCGGGTCCTCTGCTTCCTCCTCATCACTCCTGCTCTAAGACCTGCAGTGGCTTCCTGTCCAGCTTTGTTCTATTTTTTTAAATTGAGGTGAAATTCACAGAATGCGAAATTAACCATTTTGAAGTGCACGATTCAGTGGTATTTAGTGCTCGACCCATGTTGCACAACCGCCATCGATACCAAGTTCTAAAACATTTCATCACCCCAGAAGAGCCCCCGAACCCATGAGCGACCACTCCTCATTCCTCCTCCCCCAGCCCCAGGAACCCCCAATCTGCTGTCTGCCTCTACAGATTTACCTTTTCTGGATATTTCATGTAAATGTCATTCTGGCTTCTCTCACTGAGCATGTTTTTGAGGTTCCTCCACATTGCAGCATGGGTTTGTACTTCTCCCCAAGGTTTTTTGGGCAGGGGTGTTCATGTTACCCTGCCACAGCACCCAGCCAGGAAGTCCCCACATAGGACTGGCCCGATGTGCCAGCTGATCGGGCCCTAAAGCCCACAGTCCAAGTCCCCCACTGTACAGAACAGAGGCCCACCAGGGGGTGGTGGCTTCACTATGGACCAAAGTGACAGAGTGGGGTCTGAGCCCCATGCCCCTGCCCCACCCCAGGCTGCTGCTTTGAGGACCTGGCCGTGTTTACGCGCCACTGGGCCTAGGGCATCAGAGGGTCAGGAAACAGGGAGGCCAAATGCCCCACATGGAGAGAGCCAGGCAAGGAGCTTCCTGGGGCCTCTTGGGGACTGCCCAGCTCCTGAATCACTTTAGGGGGGCGGGACCCACCAAGCTGAGTCATGCTGGGCCGGGCTGGGCAGGGCAGCTGGCCCAGGCAGGCCTGAGACAGATCCACTCTGGAAAGGGGCCCCACGGAGGGTCGGGGAGAACCAGGCAGCACCCATGGCCAGGAAGGGTCTCAGGACTCAGGCAGGGGGACAAAGCCACCCACCTGCCCTTTATTTGTATCTCTGTCAGAAGGTGACTAAGAACCCAAACTTTGGCTTGCCTTCGATTTGCTTGGTGACCCCAGGCCAATGCTCCTGTGTGTGCCTCAGTTTCCCCCTGTCAGGTGGGTATAACCTGCACTGCCTGCTTCATGGGGTCATGAGGAGGCTCAAGTGAGGACCAGATGAGAGAGAGGCTGTGGATGTGAGTGCTGGGGGCCATTCACCCCATTTCCTCCAAGGAAAGAAGTGGCCCCATGGCACAGATCCCAGGCTAAGAAAATGTCAAACGTCAGCCGGGCACTCAGTGGGTGAAAATGGTCCACAGAAGGCTCTGCCCTCAAGGCCTAGGGCCACTCACAGAGCAAAGCAGAGGGCTCAGGACCTCGGGTCAGGAGAAGGTTCTAGGCCTCTGAGGAATGAGTGGCAGGGGGTGCTGGGTGGAGGGCGTGCTGCAGGCCAGGCTGGGCATCCTGATGGTCGTTACTTCACTTATTCTTCACAGCGGCTGCCGGGGAGAGGACCAGCTGCTTCTCTGCTCGGGGGCCCTGAGCCACATGGCCCTCGCGGCCTCCCCAGTGTATTCGGTACTATTCCCACTGTCCAGATGAGGAAATTGGGGCACTAGGAGTCACAGAACTTTCCAGGTCTGTGTAACTCTGAGGCCCACACCACCACCCCTGCCCCCTGAGCTGCGGGTCCGCAGGCCTGACCTGAGCCACACAATCACTCATGAGGGCTGTGTCACCTCCCCTCTCTCAGCCTCCTTCTCGTCCTAGCATGGCACTGATAGCCTACCCCAGAAGTTTGCAGCTCTGAGGGCGGGCTTGGGCCACAGGATGCTCCCACCCCACCTCAGCCTTTCCACCCTCTGCCCAGTGCCAGAAGGTTCTCTCAGGGCCAACAGCCTCACTCTTTCCAGCCCCAGGGCCAATGTCCCAGCCCCCACTGGGCAGCAGTGCAGTTATAGGATCTGAGCCCCTCCCTGTCCCGAGGGGGGCGGGGAGAAGGGGAGGAGGCAGGACCTCCCATCCTAGTGATGCTTCACTCCTGGCTTTAGGGCCTCACCTCCTCCCCACCTTTGTGTCCCCATCTGTTAAAGTGCGGCTGAGCCAGTGGGTCTCTAGAGTATCCTTTGGTTCCCTACAGGTGACCCTCCTTATAGAAGGTGATAAAATTGCTGCCCAGAAACAGCACAAAGGGTTTTGCCCTTTCTCTGATCCCTCCATTCCCAGCTGTACCCAACCCTTGGGTCTTACCCCTGAAGCTACCACTGTCCCAGGGACTTGGTTTTTGTATTTTTTTGAACGACTCACAGCAATTCCTCATCATGACCTTTGTGAAGCCTCTTCATTATGAAAGTGTCCAACGTAAAAGACAACGGGTCTGGAAGGATCCACATCAGTGGGTCACCGGGGAGGGCTGGGGTGGGGCTGGGGTCACAAGGGGGTATGTGCTTTATCAAGCGAGCATGACGTTTTTACAGAGCGCACATGCAGACATTGCACAATCAAAAGTAAGTAAAACAAAATACAAATAACAGAAACTCAGATTCAAAAATAAAATAACGAAAAAGCAACAGTGCGCATAGTAAAAAGGGGCTCCCTCCCTGTCAGCCCAGGCCCCTCCCGCCGCAGCTGCCCGCTGCAAGGCTTTGCGATCAGACCCCACTCATTCAAACCCCGGGTGACGGTTCCTGGGTGAGGCTCAGTTCCCCCCAGTTCAAAGGGCTCCCTTGGGGGCCCAGGATCACCTGTGAGGTTCCCTTTGGGGGCACTGAACAGCCATCTGGGGACTGAGGAAGAGGCCTGACACCCTCCACGCTCCTCAGTCCCTGTCACAGCCAGTGAACAAGCGCTGCTGCCACCAAGGAGCTGTCGCTTGCCTCCTGCTGCCCTGCGGGGGCCACACTCCACCCACGGAGATACCGGGCCCTTCGCCCAGTGTGCCAGGCGCCCCGGGCGGGTGCTTCTTGTACACTGCCTCCTCTGACATCCTCTCCTTACCCATGACCCAAGGAACGGCCTCAGTCCCTTGTCCCTGAGCTCAAGTCCTGCTCCTCCTGCTGTCCATCCTAGAGCACCTGGTATCAAGTACCACCACGCCTTGGCAGGCCAGGCGGAGAGGCTCCCAGCCAAGAACAGGCGGCCGGCGTCTGCCAGACCGACCTCAGCACTCAGCAGTGTGTACACTGGAAGCCCCACGACCCTTCCCACCTGGGTTCTGAGATCCTTTGCAGGGAAGGGAGGGGACAGACAGGTCCCACACCAGGCTCCCGTCCAGGCTACAGCTCACCTGAGCACTGACTGGACTGGGAAGTAGGGACCCCGTTCTAAAGCCCGTTGGGGCCTCACCTGACTTTGGGCAAATAACCTCCCCAACCTGGCCTGAGTTTCCTCCCCTAGAAACGAGGTGTTTCAAGTGGATCAGGAGGCCGAGATCTCCCCGGCATTTTATGATCCTCAAGGTACTCTGCGGGGCCACTCCCACCCTCCCCTGCCTCGACTTGCTCCTCATCATCAGGAACGGGCAAGGGAGGAGGTTTCGGCCCGGCCCCACCCCGCCCCACCCCGCCCGGCGGCTCCGCTTCCCGCGGGGCCGAGCAGCCTGGCGCGGAGGGGCAGAGCGGAGGTGGGACGAGGCAGGGCAGGGCTGCCCAAGTCCCCGCCACCCCTCCCCCTGCACGTCTTCCCCTTTCCGACGGGAACCCCGCTGCGCAGGAACCCCCCCCTTCCTACCCCCCCGACCTCGGAGGTCGGGGCCGGGGCAGTCCGCCGCCCACTCCAGCTGACCCGACAGCCCAGTGCAGCCCCGCGCCCTCCCCTCGCCCTGCGGCTCTGACCTGCCACCTCCGGCCTCAGTTTCCCCTAGGGCCCCGCGCCGGCGGGCAGGCCCTGTCGGCGGTTCCACCCGCGCGGAGGCCCTTGCTTGCTGCCCGCTCGGCACCCCGTCCCCACTCACCAGCAAAGAGGACTTGTTCCGGGAAGGGCGCTGCGCGACGGGAGGCTGCAGCCCAGCCCCGCCCCGCCCCGGCAGCAAAGCCCCGCCCGGCCCCCGCCCAGGCCACGGCCCCGCCCCGCTTGGCTGGAAGCCCGGGCCGCGACCCACGCTGGCTTGCCGGCGGCGGGACGGGGAGCTCGCTCTGCTGCTTCGCGCCGCCAGCGAGCCGGTCTCGCCGCCGCTTCTCCTCCCCTGTGCGCAGGGCATACGGACGCCGCGTTCCAGCTGTGCCCGCAGACAGGTTGCTTCTCTTCTTGAGCCTCACTTTTCCCATCTGTAAGATGGGGGACAGAGAGGGAGCTCAGGAGGGGAATTACGTGATGGCAAAGCCCTGAACATCCTCCTACACAACAGCCTGGCCCCCCATCTCCGGAGGAGCACCCTAGTTCCTTTAGCTGTTGCACCAGGGCACCAAGGCAAAACTGCACTCTACCTTGGCTCTGCCACTCTGTGGCTGGTTCTTCTGCCTCCATCTTCTCATCTGTAAAATGGGCACATCATCGTGGGCGTAATGAGGATGCCCCATGGTAATGCAGGCAGGGCGCCCTGCAGCTGGGTGACGCTCAGTGAGCGGAGGCTGGAGGCTGCAATCATTACAGCCTAGAGGTGGCCTCCTGTTTACCAGGGTCACCCACATGGGACTGGTGTGTCCAGCCCCAGGCCTTAAGCACCTCACCTCCCTGTTTACTTGCTGCTTTATTACTGCAGCCTAGGGCCTGTCCTGGCCACCTTCGGAGGACTTGGTCTGGCAGGGCCCTCAGCTTACAGGAGCCATAACTGCCCAAACTGGTCCTCTGGGGGCCAAGGTGAACTGCAACTACTTTTCCCCAGGCAGAGTGGCCTGGAGCCTCCTGACTTCCCTAGGCCCTGGCATGTTTGCCTCCGTGGGCCCCTTCCACCTTTAACTGCATTGGTATAAGGACAAGTATAATCCAGGCTGGACTCTATCCATCTTTTCCTTCTGATTTTAAAAGAAATTAAAACATTTTCCCCGGTGCCTCTGTTCCTAATGAAAGCGGTCTGGCCACGCCTCCCTGGAGAAGCCAGCCCTCACCTTCTACCTGTAAGGAGGTGCCCATGGCTTTGGCTGAGTGGCACACTTGACTCCCCCCAGAAGACACGTGGGGAAGAAGCAATTCCATTTCCATCCGGCCTCCCCCGTGCTGTACACAGGACTCCAGGCCCCCAGGGGCACCCTGGGAGGCAGAGATTGCTGTCCCCAAATACTTGCTATATGCCAGGGCCAACGAGAGGAGCTGAGCACAAACACTCAAGGCTCTGCCCTCCTGAAGTTCACCCCCATTCAGAGGCGAGACCCTGCTGGAGACCCTACCGCTCAGAGTGGGAGTTGCTGCTCTAGGGACTCACTCCACAGGTCTGGGTGCCGATGTGGGTGCCCCATCCCTCTCTCTGCCTGCACACCTCCTATGACTTCTGCCTCCTTCCTGGGACCCATCGCCCCCACCTGGGCGGCAGTGACTGTCCCTCCTCCGGGCAGCAGCCACAGGCCTTAGCTGGCCCCAAGGTCCCCTCTTGTCCCTTCCGTGCCCTGCTTCTGCTCAGGACCCTCCATGGCTTCCACTGCCTTAGGATCCAGTCCAAGCCTTGTACCTGTGGGGTCAAGCCGACAACCCCACCCTTGCTCAACTCTGTGCCTTTTCACATACTGTTCCCCCTGCCTAGCACACCATTCACCCCCATCCTGGGTATCTCCATGTGTCCAAGTCTGACTGCTCTCCAGTGTCACTCCAGGAAGCTCTTCTATAACCCCAACTCTGTGCCACCCCCACTCTAAGTGGGCAGTGACCTCTAAACTCCACAGCACTGAGCATGGGAGCCTCGCGTGCATTTGGCATGTGCCAACCTAGAGAAACATATATATTGAGCGTGTGGGGGCCCAGCTCTGGTCTGAACCCTGGAGAATACAACACAAGCAAATCGAGTCCCTAGCCTCAGTCCATCTGGGGAAGAGGCAGGGAAAACACCCTCCCAATCCCCAGATTGACCCCACCTCACATGCTCAGAGAGGTCAAAGGGCAGCACCCTGGCTGGAGAGAGTGGGCATGAGGCCAGACCAGGTAAAACTAAACTGAGCCTTTGGGGCACACACTGGCCTCAGCCTCCCTGAGCATTGACGAGAAGAGCCCTAGCTGGGACAGTCGGAGGAGGGCAAGGTTGGGGGTGAGGCATGTCTGGCAGGGCTGTTTCAGGGGCACTCGGCAGGAAATGGTCTGCGACGTGAATTCTGCCCTTCTTCCTTCTGAGCTCAGGCCATCTTGCATCTGTGTTCAGACCTCAGGAGTAGGGGGGACACTTCTGTGAGGTGGAACCAGTGTCCTCAGCTAAGCCAGGCAGCAGGCAATGGAGGGGAGAACAGGATCTCATCAGCCTGCGATCAAGACAGGCCATGTGTGGACAAGAATCTGGTCTGGGCTCACCAGGGATTCAGTTCTTAAACAGGCAGCACAGTGACAGCTGGCGTCTTGGGGATGACAGCCCTCAGTACATCCCTGGAGTCACGCTGCTCCCAACTGGACTGGCTGCTCGCACGTCTGTGCACACATCATCCTGGGTCCCTCTTCACCACCATCCAGGGGATGCCCTTGACCCCTCTGCTGGCTAGTTCATTTCCTGGATGACACCTTGATACCTTTCTTGGTCGTCGTCCCCCCCACGCCGTGTTTGTGATGAGCCCGTTCTCCAGTTCTTGAGAAAGATTGCACAGAAGCTATCATTTTGAAATCTTGCTTTCTCCCCCGTGGTTGATTGATGCTTGGCTGAGTGAGAATTCAAAGTTGGAGACATCTGTCCCTTGGCATCCTGAAGACATGGTCTTCCAGCTGCCACAGCGCTGATGAGCAGGCTGAAGCTATTCTGTGTTTTGAGCCTTTGTAGTTTGTTCTTCCTGGAGAATTTTAAGATGTTTGTCCCCAGAGTCCTGAAATTTCACACTGATATTTCTCTAAGGGGGTCTAATTTCATCCATTGTACCAGCACTCAGGGTCCTTCCATACAGGAAACTCATATCCTTCATTGTCCAAAAATTAAAAACATTTTTTTTTGGTTTTTACAGTTTATTGGGGTGACAATGGTGAGTAAAGTTACACAGGTTTCAGGTGTACAATTCTGTAATACATCATCTACATATCACAATGTGTGTTCACCACCCAGAGTAAGTTCTCCTTCTATCACCATATATTTGATCCCCTTTACCCTCATCTACCACCTCCCTCCCCGGTTACCCTCTGGTAACCACTCAACTATTGTCTGTGTCTAAGAGGCTTTGTTTCTTTATTTGTTTGTCTTGTTCCTTTGTTGCTTTCAGTTTTATATCCCACATATCAGTGAAATCATATGGCTCTCGACTTTTTCTGTCTGACTTATTTCACTTAACAAAAACATTTTTTTATGATTGCCTTCCCTCGATTTTCTCACTTCTCTTTCCAGAAGCCCTGTTACTCAGAATCCTGGGCCTCCTGGGCTGGTCTTCTAACTTCCTTTTCTCTCCTTCTCATGTTCCTTTTCTCTCCTTCTCATGTTCCTTTTCTCTCCTCCTCATGTTTTGCCTTTTTGCTTTACCTTCTGTGAGGTTTTTCTCAACTTTCTCTTCCTGGCTTTCTATTGAGTTTTTCAATTCTGCTATCCTATTTTTCATTTCCAGGGGTTATTTTTTGTTTCATATAATATATATACTTTCTGTTCCTTTTTCATGGATGCAGCATCTTCTTCTCTTCTCAATTATCAGTGTTAGTTTTCTTTAGTCTCTGAATCCTATGCAGTTTTGTTTGTTGGTTGGTTGGTTTGTTTCTGCTTGTAGGAGGCTTTCCTCGGATGCCTGGGGAATCTTTGGCCGGCTGCTCATGATTAGAAGAAAAGGAAGAAAATAAGTCTGTGGATGCTATTTGTTGGTTTAGCTTCACTGTAAGTTGAACTTGATGGGCCACTTGGCTGGGAACTTCCTAAACTGTCACTATCTTTAGGATTTTCCTCTTGGACTAGTCAGATTCCCCAAGGTCCTCTAGTCCCTTACCTGGAGGGTCAGGGTCAAGCTCTGGTTTTCTGGGAGCTCAGTAGGGAGACTGGAGGAAGTCTCTGCATTCAGCATTCAGTATCCATCTGTTTTGGCAGCGTACCCATAGTCACCACTGTCTCTGGGCTGTGCAGCCCTTTCCAAAGCTAAACCACAGAAGTTTGCCAGAATGGGGGAGGGGCATCACCCAGTGGCTGGAGGAAGGGAGGGGATCTAAAGATCTAACTGTCCCTTAAAGGCACCTTCAACTATTCTGGTTCTCTTTATTTTAGCTCTCTTGCACCCTTAGATCTAGAAGAAGCTAATGCTGCCAGTTCCTAAGATTTTGAGGATTCTGTTGTATGAATAAGAGTTGGTTCTCAGCTTTCCCCAGTGCTGGGAGGCATCTGGCTGTCTGGGGTCTGTTAAGTCAAGTAATACTGGTCTACCTGCTTTCCAGCTTCCAGAGGTTCTGTTGCTGGGGCCCCCTTTCCTGTTCTCCCTGTCCTGGTGGATTTATGTCTTTAAAAGACCCCTTTACTGTGGATTTACAGGCTCCTAGAGGCAGTGTGTGCTCCATTCATGTCTTAACCTGAACACTCCATATTTTTTATGACCACGGCATTGTATAGATTTGTCATAATTCATTTAACTAATCTCCTCTAGTTGGACATGCAGTTTATTTCCACTTTTTCCTTGTCAAAAGCAAGGTTGCTATGATGTCCTGACAGTTAGGTTTTTACTCGTTTAATTCTTATGACAAGCTCACTGAAGTAGATCTGCTGATGTGATTCTACCTCGATCTTTCTCATTATGAGGTGTGTAGTGAGAGAAAGCGAGAAAGTGTGTGTGTGTGTGTGTGTGTGTGTGTGTGTGTGTGTGTGTGTGTGTGTGTCCCGGCTCCTTAGAAGAAGCTGACAGNTGTGTGTGTGTGTGTGTGTCCCGGCTCCTTAGAAGAAGCTGACAGGAAATGAGGGAGGGGCAGAGGGGAAGGGGGTGTGGTTAGGGGTGAAGTCAGTTAGACTTTAACCCAGCCTCACACCTCTGCTCAGAAGACGGAGAACCCCAATTCCTAACCCTTCTGTCACTAAACCACCTGTCAACTCAATCTTAGAGCCTTAGTCTATTTACCCATAAGGATAATAGTAGCACCTGTCCACCATAGTGTTGCTGCGAGGAATTAAATAAGTTAATGTCTGAAAGATATCCAGGGCTTTGTTCAACGGAACAGATATTTAGTGGGTGTTTATTATGCACTGTGCATCGTGTCTTGTTTGTAGAAAACATAAAAAAGAGTGCTGTTATCTTGCTTACCACCCAGGAAGAAGGACTGTGGAAGCGTTTCAAGCACTTTTCACGTGCTAGACATAAAGAGTGAATATTACATTGCGTAGTTTATTCAATACATATTTTTGAGGGCTCATTGTGGTGCGGTGTCGTGTCTTATTCTTTCCTGTGGAGGTTTAAGAAACCGCAAGGGTCACTCTGGGGTCCCTGCATGCAGCAATGAAAGAGCTCGGAGCTGGGACGGATCCTAACGGCGGAACCTTTCTTCCCACCCCCGGGTGCCTGGGCCCGCCCGGAAGGAAATGCGTCAAGGACCGCGCCGCCGCAGTCGGGCCTCGGTCGCCCCGGTAACGCGCGTGGGTCAGGGTCCCCAGCATGAGCGTCCGGGTCGCGCAGGCAGTGAGGGCCTGGAGCTGGGGCGCGAAGTGCTGCTCCCGCTCCTCAAGCTTCCGAGGGCGTCCGCCGGGCGCAGTGGACGTGACGGAGCTGCTGCGAGATGCGACAGCAAAGGAGGAAGGGCCTCGGGAGGCGGCGGCCCGGCGGCTGCCGAGTCAGTGCTCAGTGCTGCTCTTCCCGGGCCAGGGCAGCCAGGTGGTGGGCATGGGCGGCGATCTGCTCCGCTACCCGCGCGTCCGCGAGCTCTACGCCGCAGCCCGCCGCGTGCTGGGCTATGACCTGCTGGAGCTGAGCCTGCACGGGCCGCAGGAGGACCTGGACCGCACCGTGCACTGCCAGCCCGCTGTCTTCGTGGCTTCGCTGGCCGCCGTGGAGAAACTGCATCACCTGCAGCCCGCGGTGAGGCCCGAGGACCCGTAGCAGGCCGGGGTAGACGGGATCTGCCCGCGGCTCCTGCCCGCCAGGCCGGAGTACTCTCGTGCCTGACTCTTTGCGCTGATTCTTACCGAGTTACCGCTCTGTGTCAGGCACCAGGCGCTAGGCTGACAGCCATAAACAAAACAAGGGTCACTGCCCTAGAGGAGGGAGACAGATAATAAAGAATCAATGCAGTATGTAAATTACATAGTACGTTAAAGATGAGAAGTGTTGTAGAAAGGAAAACAGAGCAGGGGAAGGGGCCGAGGAGTCAAGGACCGGGGAGCGATTTTAATGATCCTTAATAATTTAATGAATTACTAAATGATTTCAGAAGGATTAAATATCCTTAAGTGGAAGATCATTGAGAAGATGCTATCTGAGACTCACTTCACTTGAAGGTGTGAATCGATTGCTATTATTATTTAATATCAAGACAGAGTTCAGCTAATACTTTAAACCCTTTACTCCATTTCACCCTCACAACCACCTTGTGAGGTAAATACTGTTATTTTGTGGATGAGGAAAGGAGACTCAGAGATACTAGAGGAAGTAGTTCAGTGCTCCTTTGGAGTTGTGATAATAACATTCATTGAGTGCTTACCCTGGGCCAGGTCTGTGCTAAGTGCTTTAGAGACAGTTTTTATAGAATCCTCTCAGCAGCCCTGTGAGGTAGGTCCTGCCCTTTCCCCATGTCACAGATGAGATAACTGAGGCTCAGAGAGGTTAGGGTCAAGTCCAACTCTCTGTGGCTCTGAAAGTCATACTTTTAGCTTCTATGCTTAGCTCCCTCTGGCTCCTCATGGGCCAGAGAGGCGGCTCCAGGGCAGAGCTAGAGAACCCAGGGGTCTGAGTTGGAGTCAACAGCTTTATCTCGAGTCAGCCAGGAAAGTTCCTCATCAGTCCAGGGGCTGGATCAGCAATTGTCAAGGCCACTTCTGTGTGTCCCCTTCTAGCTGGAACACCAGGCCAGTCGAACCTGTCTCCCTGAATCATTGAACACTGAGCCGCTGCCAGCTCTCAAGTGCAGAGCCCCAGACTGAGCTCCCTGGGAACATGGCCTCACGTTCTGCATCTGTCACCACAGGTTATTGAGAACTGTGTTGCTGCTGCTGGATTCAGTGTGGGAGAATTTGCAGCCCTAGTGTTTGCCGGAGCCATGGAGTTTACGGAAGGTACACAGAAAGGGGTTTGGTTTGTTTTGCACAGTGGTGTTGACTTGCTGGGCTCATTGGGGATAAGGGACACTGCCAAAAATAATTCTGGGCCCACTCAGGGGTGATAGAGAAGGGAGCATGTGGATGGGTTGACGTTGGAACCCGAGGACCAGACCTCGCCCTGATTCCCTTTTAAGCCTCGAGGGTCCATCAGGGGTTTCTTTTCGTAATCTCATGAAGCCTGCTTGCTTGCCCGTCTTTCCACTGTGCTGTGCGTTCTTAGTCCACTCACACGCCTTCAGTGCCTGTCACCTGGTAGATGCTCGATAGATATTCACTGAATGAAAAAGAGGAAATGAATATCAGTTTCACTTCTTAAGAGTTTGGCTTATAGTTCAAAGTTAAACATTTTTGCTTATAGTTAAATACAGGCAAAGGACTTGAATAGACATTTCTCCAGAGAAGATACACAAATGGCCAATAAGCACATGGAAAGATGTTCACCATCACTAATCATTAGGGAAATGCTAATCAAAACCACCATGAGATATCACTTCACACCCACTATGGTGGCTTTAGTTTAAAACAACAACAACAACAAAAAAAGGAAAATAATAAGTGTTGGCAAGAATGTGGAAAAATAGGAACCTCACACACTGCTGGTGAGAATGTTAAATGGTGCGGCCTCTGTGGACACTGGTGGTTCCTTGAAAAGTGAAATGTAGAATTACCACATGAGCCAAAAGCTGTACTTGGAGGCATATACCTAAGATGAAAACATAAGCCCACATGGAAAGACTTGTACACAAATGTTTATAACAGCATTATTCCTAATAACCAAAAGATGGGAGCAGTCCAGATGTCCATCATCGGATGAATGAATGAATAAATGTACATCTAGGTAATGGAATATATTATTCAGGAATGAAGTCCTGACACACACTGCAACATGATGAACCCCCAAAACATGCTCGGTGAAAGAAGCCAGACACAGAGATTACATATTGTGTGATCTCTTTTATAGGAAATGTCCAGAATATGCAAATCCATATAGAGACAACAGAGTAGTGGTTACTGGGGGTGGAGGGAAGGATAAACAGGGAGTGATTGCACTTAGGGGGTCTGGGGTGTTTTATGGCGGAAAGTTTAAAACTTAGAGCTGGTGGTTGCACATCGTGAATACAACAAATGCCACCGAATTGTACTCTTGAAACTGGTTATATTTTATGTGAATTTCACCTCAGTGTTTAAAAAAAAACAAAATTAGAGCACTATTAAGGAAATGAAAAAAGTTTCATATTTCCACATCCTAATAAAACTATTTTATACCCATGGTTTTATGTGTAAATAATTCTCAGAATTATAGCATGTGTACATTCTATGTTCGGTTTTTCCGCTTGACGTGTTGCATAGTTATTGACTGACTGCCTGCATGGGAGGATTTCCACATGCTATCTCCACATTCCTGTGTGTTCTGCTTCCCACCACAGGCTTTTAATGTGTTTGCTGCACAGTTCTATTCATGTAAGGTGGCTAAGAGTCCAGTACAAACACACGTATAAATGTACCGAGTGAGTGGAGATGCGTTTGAGAGAAAGGTGCAGGATTTGTTCCTCAGACCTTGTCTGTTGTCCCGTCAAACCCCAGGACTGGTCCCCTAACCTCTCCTTGGTCTGGTCATCCCCTTCCCAGGGAGCAGACCCAAGCCCAGGATGGTGGGCGTCCAGTAGTTCGGGCCATCCTTATGTCATGACCAGTGGCACTGCCTACCTGGGTACAGCCCTGTCTCTCACCTTGCACTTGAGCCACGCGGAACGCAGCAGGAGCCCTGCGTCTTAGCTCGCCTGCCTTGGCGGTGTCAGGCTCTCCAGCTCGAAGGGAGGGCAGTAATGCTTGATTTATAATTATGTGTTACTGAAATGCATGTAATTGTTTATAGTTTGTACATCATTCCAAATACTGATGGCTCTTATTTTCCCTGTTCAGCATGATTTCTCTTAATTAATATAACTCCCACTTTTCACAGCAATCTAAACAGATTAGATTCTGTTATCCTCATTTTGCTAACTAAAAATTTGACCTGGAGGGAGGTCATGACTTGCCCAGAGCAGTGTAGCCCAAAAGTCTGTTCCTTGTCACCCTACTCCAGGGTTTCTCAACAACGGTGCTATTGACATTTTGGACCAGCGAATTCTTTGTTTTGGGGGTGCTTTGCATGTTGAGTAGCATCCCTGGCCTCTACCCACCAGATGCTAGTCTAGCACACACCCCCCACCCCAGTTGTGGCAATCAAGAAATATCTCCAGACACTGTCTTTGGGGTAAAATCACCCCTGGTCCAGTCCAAGCCATCTTAAGGCAGGCAGGAAGCTCCGTGGGTTAATTAGTGTTGTGCCAAGGACAGCACCCTGCGTTCTGGTGGCATGTCTCTATGTGGTAGGCACAGCAGAGCTCTGGCCGTGTGGCCTGGTGACGAGTGCCAGTGCCTGTGTCTCCAGCACGCAGCGTGGGACTGTGCTGTGTCTTTCAGGTCTGGGCGTTCCTCCTTCCATGTCCTGATTTTTCCAAATGCACTTCTCTCTGCATAGGTTTGTATGCAGTGAAAATCCGAGCCGAGGCCATGCAGGAAGCCTCGGATGCCGTCCCCAGTGGGATGCTGTCCGTCCTCGGCCAGCCTCAGTCCGAGTTCACCCTCGCCTGTTTGGAAGCCCGGGAACACTGCGAGGCTTTGGGCATCGAGAACCCTGTGTGCGAGGTGGCCAACTACCTCTTTCCGGATGGCAGGGTGATCGCAGGACACCTGGAGGTTGGTGCTGACGGGCCCCGGTCCTATAGAAGGTTGGAACTTCCACACCCGTGAGCCCACAGTGGTGTAATGGGTGTTCTGCGGAGCCGTAGTCTTCGGGGAGCGTGTGGTGGAGTGAGCACTGCAGAGGGAGGCAGGAGGCTGGGGTGCGGCGCCCACTTCACCACGTGCAGGCTGGAACCTTGGGCAAATCGCCCAGCCCACCTGAACCAGATGATCGCCAGGGCCTTCCTGATCCCGCTGCTTCCTCGGAGAGAGCAGAGCCGTTTCCTAGGGGGTGGTTCCCCCTGCTCTGCTTAGCTGTCTGTTTTCGCACTGAGTTAACTTCCTCTCCTTCTGGCCTCCCTCCCATTCGCCGCGTCCCCAGACGTCATTTCTTCAGCAGCTCGTATGTAACAAGGACGGAGGGCACATGTAACTGACAAGCCCGGGCTCCTGCCATCCAGGGAAGGCCGGCGGTGAGCCAAGGAGACCAGGTTTCGGGGCACAGTAAAGGTGGACCTGAGGATGTGGCACCAAGAGGCGGGGCGTCCCCAGCAGAGAGGCAGGGAGTGCCCGATGGAAAGGGCGGCTCACCCCGTCCGCACAGCCAGTGCTGTGCTCTGGAAGGAGTCCTCATGTTTTAAACATGAGGAAGCCGAGGCAGAGAGAGGCAGGTGCTACGACAGGGGAACTCAAGTCTGTCTCCCTCTGGAGTGCCTGTCTCCTCCGCTCCGCCGCGCTCAGCCCATCCTCCCTTTAGGCCGCGCCGGCATGCCAGGTGTCTACGAATCTCCTCGGAATGAGTGAGAACCAACAGGTCCCGCCTGTGACAGTTCCAGTGATGGGAGGGTCAGTTACAGTGGCCCCCAAGTTAATCATGGCGCTGGCTGCTCGTTCCCAGTAACAGCTTTGGATTAAAGCCCAGAGGTGGACCAGGAGAGCCCCCAGCCAGGGCAGGAATCGCCCTCTCAGGCTCTCAGACAGGTGGGCAGCCGGTCCGGGCGAGGAGTCCCAGGTTCCCAGGTTTGGCCTTTTAGTGCTGTTAGAAGTGCCACAGCGAAGCGCTCAGGTGAGGGTAGGGGTCCCCCTGAGCAGGGGAGCCCCATTTCTACAACTGATATGAAAAAGACTCCTTGGTCCCTGCTAGACCCATGCCTGAGCTGAGGGCCAGAGGAGCCTGCTGGACCTGCGGCAGTGGCCAACCTGGGGTTGAGTGGGCTGAGTCCAGAGACTACATGGGAGCATCTCGAGACCTGAAATGATGCAGAAGTGCCACCGAGGAGCCATCCACGTAGAGGCCGGCGGCCACGCCAGTCCCAGCATGGTGGGGAGGGCCTGGGCTGTGGGGCCCAGGAGGCCTCTGTGCAGAGGCTGCTGGGGCATGTCGCTCAGTGAGATGGGGATAGATGGGGGGGTCATGGATGTGAGGGAGGCACCAGGCCCGTCAGGATGGGCTAGACTGCCGCACCGACAGCCAGACCCCTCAATGGTCCCACAGGCATGGTTCACGAGCGAGGTCCCGTTCCTGGTAGGGTTCGCTATGCTGGGTTCGGCTCCACTTCGCTTTTGCCCCAAGGCTCAGGCTGGAGCAGCCCCCATGTGGAACCCTGAGACTCAGGGCCAAGGAGAGCGAGACGGGAGGCACCACGGCTGTACTGGCCATGCCTGGGCGGGCAGGATGCACTCCACCTGCCGGGAGGAGCTCCCTGAGATGGCGGACCAGCGCCATGCCACAGAAAGTGATCCCTCCTGTCCTGTGGGGACACAGATAGCTACCCTGTAATATTTTCTTCCAGTGGACATGGATGGGCTTAGCATGTTAAGATAATAATTGCTAACCCTTATATAGCACTTGTATGCTAAGCTTAGTTCTCTGTACCATAGCTTTATAACTATTGTTAGCCCCATTTTATAGATGAGGAAACTGAGGCCCAAGAGGTAAAGTAAAATTGCCCGAGGTTGTGCTGCTGCTATGACCTTTTTAAGGCTCAAGTATTCCAGGGAGCAGCTGGCCCAGCCTCTGAGGAGGCCTGGACGGTGTCAGGTTCCAGGGACATGGCAGGCAGTTTAGGGCACTGGAAGCCCTTGAGCAGATTCCAGTGGTTGCAGGCACCAGGTCTCTTAAGAGTATCTACTATTGGGCCGGCCGAGTGGCGCGTTGGTTAACAGCTGGCTTGGGACACCAGGGGGCCCCAGTTCGGATCCCACATATGAGGGCCAGTGACACTGCCCTCTACAGCTAAGATGCTGAACAACAGCTCAACCTGGAGCTGG